CTACCAACTCCTCTGGGACACAGCAAAGGCAGTACTCAGAGGCAAGTTTATAGCTCTGAGTTCCTACATCAATAAATTGGAAAGATCTGAAACCAACAATATAATGAGACATCTGAACCTCATTGAAAAAGAGCAGCAAGATAAACCCCAACAGAGTAGATGGAAAGAAATAATGATAATAAAATCAGGATAAAATGAATTAGAATCCAAAAAAATAATGGAAAGAATCAACAAAACAAAGAGTTGGTTCTTTGAAAAAATTAACAAAATTGACAGACACTTAGCAAATCTTATCAGAAAAAGAAGAGAACACACCCAAATAAATAAACTCAGAGATGAGAATGGAAACATCAGCATAGAAACAATCAAGATTCAGAACAATATAAGGGAATATGTTTCAAAAGTTTATGCTAATAAGTTCGAGAACTTGACAGAAATGGACCTTTTCCTAGCAAATATTGACATGCCAAAAGAAAACCAAGATGAGTTGAACCATCTTAACAGGCCCATATCAAGCATTGAAATAGAATCAGCAATAAGAGACCTCCCAACTAAGAAAAGTCCAACACCAGATGATTTTACAGCAGAATTCTACAAGGACTTCAAAGCAGAGTTCACACCAATACAATACTCCTCCAACTCTTCAATGAAATAGAAAGAGAAAGTTCACTACCAAACTCATTCTATGAAGTTATCATCACCCTCATCCCAAAACCAGGCAAGGACTCATCAAAGAAAGAGAACTATAGACCCATCTCTTTGATGAACATTGATGCAAAACTTCTCAACAAAATTTTGGCCAATCAACAACTCATCCAAAAAATCATACACCACGATCAAACAGGATTCATTTCAGGAATGAAAGCTGGTTCAATAAATGCAATTCAATTAATATAATTCATCACATCAACAGAAGCAAGGATAAGAACCACATGGTTATCTCAAAAGATGCAGAAAAAAATATATGCAGACAAGATCGAACACCCCTTTATGATGAAGGTTCTGGAAATATTAGTAATCCATGGAACATTTCTCAGTACAAAAATGGCTGTATATGCCAAAAGTACAGCCAGCATTATACTTAGTGGTGAAAAACTAAAGCCATTTCCTCTTAACTCAGGAACAAGACTAGGATGTCCACTCTCTCCACTTCTCTTCAATCTAGTATTAGAATGCCTAGCTACAGCAATAAGACAAGATGCAGACATAAAGGGGATCCAAATAGGGAAAGAAGAAGTAAAACTCTCCCTCTTTGCAGATGATATGATCTTGTATTTAAAGAATCCCATAGATTCCACTCCCAAATTACTCAAGCTGATTCAAAACTTTGGCAGAGTAGCAGGGTATAAAATTAACCCTCAAAAATAAATGGCTTTTCTGTATGTCAACAATGAGAAAAGTGTGGCTGAAATTAGGAAAACAACTCCATTCGTAATAGCCCCAGAAAAAATAAAATACCTAGGAATTAACCAAAGAAGTGAAGGACCTATATGATGAAAACTTTAAAAACTTGAAAAAGGAAATCAAAACAGAACTTAGAAAGTGGCAAAAACTCCCATGCTCCTGGATTGGAAAGATGAACATCGTGAAAATGGAAATACTTTCCAAGGCTATCTACAAATTCAATGTGATATCTATCAATATTCCAACCTCATTCTTCAAGGAAATAGAAGAGGCCATCTAAAATTCATATGGAGCAATAAAAGACCCCAAATAGCAAAAACTATCCTCAACAGAAAGAACGGTGCTGGAGGAATATCAATACCAAACTTCAAACTCTACTACAAAGCCATAGTCATCAAAAATAACTTTGTACTGGCACAAGAACAGACCTCAGGACCAATGGAATAGAATTGAAAACCCAGAAATGAACCTACAGACCTATAGCCATCTAATCTTTGATAAGGGAGCTAAAAAAAAATAGAATGGAAGAAAGACAGCCTCTTCAGTAAATGGTGGTGGCAAAATTGGTTAACTACTTGTAGAAAAATAAAGCTAAAACCATAGAAAGAATCAATAAAACAAAGAGTTGGTTCTTCGAAAAACTTAACAAAATTGACAGACCCTTAGCAAATCTTATCAGAAAAAGAAGAGAACACAGCCAAATAAATAAACTCCGAGATGAGAATGGAAACATCACCACAGAAACAATCAAGATTCAGAACATTATAAGGTAATATTTCTAAAATCTTTATGCTAATAAGTTTGAGAACTTGGCAGAAATGGACCTTTTCCTAGCAAATATTGACATGCCAAAAGTAAAACAAGATGAGTTAAAACATCTTAACAGGTCCATATCAAGTATTGAAATAGAAACAGCAATAAATGACCTCCTATCAAAGAAAAGCCCAGGACCAGATGGTTTTACAGCGGAATTGTACAAGGACTTCAAAGCAGAGCTCACACAAATACTCCTCCAACTCTTCAATGAAATTGAAAGAGAAAGTTCACTACTGTACTCATTCTATGAAGCCATCATAACCCTCATCCCAAAACCAGGCAGGGACTCATCAAAGAAAGAAAACTATGGACCCATATCTTTGATAAACATTGATGCAAAACTTCTCAACAAAATTTTGGCCAATCGACTTCAACAATTCATCCAAAAAATCATACACCACGATCAAACAGGATTCATTTCAGGGATGCACAGCTCGTTCAATATATGCAAATCAATTAAGATAATTCATCACATCAACAGGAGCAAGGATAAGAACCACATGGTTATCTCAATAGATGCAGAAAAAGCATTTGACAAGATCCAACACCCCTTTATGATGAAAGTTCTGGAAAAATTAGTAATCCATGGAACATTCCTCAATACAATAAAGGCTGTATATGACAAACCTACATCCAGCATTGTACTTAATGGTGAAAAACTAAAGCCATTTCCTCTTAACTCAGGAATGAGACAAGGATGTCCACTCTCTCCACTGCTCTACAGCAAAGGCCCCACATGTGTACACACACAGCCAGGTCATATGTTGGCTAAACCTTTCCACTCATAGAGTTTCTTTCTCCATCACCATACTTGCAACCATCTTCTCCTGGGCACTATGCCCATAAATTACAGAAAGACCTACATTGTAAGTGATCAGTGATTCTTGCTTTTCAAGCTCTAAGGTATTAGAAGCTAAAACTTAAAGCACTATAATACAGAAAACAAAAACAATAAAAAATTTTGTATAGGCAGTAACTTTCTGATTAAAACTTCGCATAGCTCATCAAATAAGAGCAAGAACTGACAAATGGGATAATATCAAACTAAAAACCATTGGCACAACAATGTAAACATTCAGTAGACTGAATATATGGCCTACAGAATTTGCAAACTAAACATATGGCAAGGGATGAATATCCAGAATCTACTGCAAGCACAGAACACCAAACTCCTAAGGAATCAACAAGCTAAGTAACAAATTTGAAAATGAATTTAAAGAAAATTCTCAAGATCAGTAGTATAAATGGCTAACAAAAGTACACAAAGATATCCTCCACGTCCTTGGAGTAAAGAAATGCAAAGCCAAAAAACACTGAATGTTCTAACTCCAGTGGCAATGCCTATCATCAAGAAGACTAAAAACTAATTCTGCCAAGAATTAAGGGAAAATGATATTTACACATGATTCATGAGAATTTATTTTCATATATCCATTAAGCAAATCTTTATGTAGGTTCCCCAAAAGGTGATAAATACATTTATGATATTAACCACTGCCATTAACTTGTGAGGTTGAGGCACATTGGGTGCATACAAGTACATATCAAAATAATACCTCTGTACATCTAATATATGCTACCAAGAATTTAAAAATTAAGTGATAAAATCATATATAACATAAAGAATATACACATATAATAGACCAGTATCAATCTCACTAGAAAGTTTATCTTTTCCCCTTTTAATTCCAAACACTGTTATGGCATTCATTTATATTATGATACATATTTTCTGATACCCAGGCCATGATTAAAGGCAAGTGTACCAAAATGTACACCCAATACTGCAGCCATGAACAGATTATATTCACTGCCCTGAAGTAACTCTCTTACCCAAGGCCACTTAAGTCTCTGCAGGAAAATTGGATCTAATATATTTTTAAAGCAAACATTGGTTTTAATATTAAGGATTGTGATAAAGAATTTTATCTATGCATGTGCTCAGACAAGTATATCATGATGATAGTTTAATCAATGTTAGCAAGTTAAATAAAAATTACTCTTTGGAAGGCAAAACTTCATAATGGAAATATGCAACTCAATTTTGGCATTTGACATTTTGAGGTGGAATTGCTGGTTTTAGCACCATAGCTTAGTTAGGCAATAGTAACTGAGTACATTTGTGGAGCACTCTGCACAGGGAATTCTTTTTGAAAACTGCTGAATAATATTTGGTGGCTGTTATGAAACATTGAGTGTGTAAATTGACCCTCTGGGTATAATGAGCTAATAACTTTGGTTGGTATATCACTGGCATAGATTTTTTCTGGCCATTTCTCCTTGCATACTCTGATGCAATCCAGTTGCATCACCCCAATTGGCTTTCATACTAACAGTTTCCTGACACAGATGCTGGAGCAAATATATCAAAGATAAATTTATCCCTGGGGCATCACTATCTGTGGTCTTGGAGGAAATCATAGCACCTGGGGTAAAGAAGGAGAATCTGCAAACATGTTTTCCAGCTAATAGTTTTTTTTTCCTGGATGCACAGCCTCATTTGCAGAGCCCAAGGGAAGAGTTTTACACATTCTTCCTGGTGACTCACAAGAACTTTCAGAGAAAGACGGACTACAGTGTATATCTCTGTCAATAAAAAGACACATATGCACACATACAAAGCTATATGAATATACATACATGACACTGTGGGCTTCAGTTCCAACCAGAACTTCAGCTTGGCAGAGGCTTCAGGTATGTTCTGTTTGATTTTCACACTCTTTCTTATCCAGATTCCCCTCATTGTCAGATCCTTGGCTGCCACTAGCTGCTTTTCTACAATGAAGCAACGAGCACACATGGATGGAGATGTGATCATTGCTGGGTTTTTCCCTCTCTATGCTTTGGCAACATATCCCAGTAACAATGATGCTTCTGCACATGAAGAGTACAAGCTGTAAGTAGCACATCACTTTCTTTTCATTTACTGTTTTGTTCTCAGGATGGGCAATAGCTGAGCAAACTCAAGGTGTACACATGAATGGTCTCTGTCTTCTCCACCCTGACCTCCCATTCCTACTGCACGAGAAACTTTTCAATTTCATTATTTTATCTTGTAACTATTGTTGAATAATTTCCTGCCTGCTAGTCAGAGAGCACTCTGCTTTCCTTTCATGTAGCTTCTCCTTTCCATGTCTGTAAGCTATTCACTTTATTCCAGCATCCCTGTATTTCCTCCATTCCAGCTGTCATTGCAGAGAATGAAGTGATGTTATTACAAACAACCTAAGTCAGTAAATGTTATCTTTGATATATTATCAAAGATAAGTTACATTTTGAGGACCTGGATAAAAATTCTTTGTTTTTTTGCCAGTCGTGGGGCCTGAACTCTGGGCCTGGCTGCTGTCCCACAGCTCTTCAGCTCAAGGCTCTACCACTTGAGCCACAGTGCCACTTCTGGCTTTTTCTGCTTATGTGGTGGTGAGGAATCGAACCCAGGGCCTCATGGATGCAAGGCAAGTACTCTATCACTGAGCTACCTTTCCAGCTCAAAAATTATTATTTTATCTTGTGACTCATGACTAAAATCTTATTAGGAGGCTGATATCTGAAGATTGAGGTTTGAAGCCAGACCAGCCATAAGAATTTTATATCCAATTAATCAGTTAAAAGTTGCAACAAGAACTGTGCTCATGTGACAGAGTACTAACCTTGAGCAAAAAAGCTAAAGGACAGTATAAAGATACTGATTTCAACCCCTAAGACACACATATGCTCCCCCATACCTTTCCTCCCTCCCTCTCTGTCTCTCTCTCTCTCTCTTAATTTAGACATGTGTTCATTGTTTCAATTTAAGCACTTTGTCATTATTTCATATCAGATATGTTTCATAATACAGGTGTTACCAGACATTATCAATGATCCCTTATGGGAGAATTTTATTTGCCCAAGATGAATTCTGCTTCACTTGTGCACATGCAGATCCTTGCTTTTGGTCTGTAGTAGAGGCTGTCACTAAGAAATGACCATTCAAAAGAACAGAACAGAACAGAAGAGAAAATAAAATAAAAGGGCTCTACAGAATTTTAAGAAACTGTAGAAGCCTATTTCATACTTGTTGCAAGAGAAAATGTCATTGCCTCTATCTTTTGCATTCTTTTCAAAGTGCTGTTGTGATTATTGTTTCCTGAGGTATCTGCCCAGAGTTGGGAACCAAGAAAGCAGGGACAGGAATTACTCTCTTCTCTGTTATAGAAGATATATGTCACTAGTGTGTTTGCTTATCTGTCTTTCTTTCTTTTGCACTGGTTTGGCGAGCTTAGGGCCTGGCCATTGTCCCTAGAGCTTCCTGCTCTAAGCTAGTGCTAGGCCACTTGAGCCACAGCTCCACATCTTTCACTTTTAGGATTTTAAATGGAGATGACTCTCACAGATAACCATGCCCAAGATGGTTTTGAAATGTGATGCTTACATCTCAGCCTTCTGAGTAGCTAAGTCTACAAGCATGAGACATCAGTGCCTGACTTTGCTTATTTTACACATTCCCCACTATTTGCCCATGTTTAACTGATTTTCCTTCTCTTTACCTCCAAAAATACATTTGAGTACTTTTGGTAGTGTGTCAAGATAAACATATAGAGTATTATAGTTTCAGCCAATGGATGTTTCTTAGCTACCTACAAATAGATAGTGAACTATGGTCTGGGTCAGTAAAATGTTATACATGGCATTGACTATACATAGCAGTATTTATCCATGAAGTCTTTTTTGTGTCTAAATGCACCACTGAAATTAGACAGCATTATGTGATATTTGACTCACCTCTATATCAACTGGTGTTCTATGTTTCTCAACTTTTATATGATATGGTACTTGTGCCAACTAATTGGTTCATATTGTAGTTCTACCCTGCATGTCATGTACTTTGATTATAGTCACTGACTATTTATGAGCCTTTTTTGTTGCATTGTTTTTTTGTCGGTTGTGGGACTTGAACTCTGGGCCTAGGCACTGTCCCTCAGCTCTTCAGCTCAAGGCAAGTGCTCTACCACTTGAGCCATTTTTGTACATTGTTCCAGCGCCTTTTTATCTCTCACATCTGTCATTCCTTCTGTTCATTTTCAGTTTTCTGAGCTCACTAAGGTTACAGTTATGAGCCTCTGATGTTTGGCTTGCTTTGTACTCTTCATTGGCCTTTTCTCTTAAAACTGATTCTCTACCACTTCAGCCCCACCTCCACTTCTGATTTTTTGTCAGATAACTGGGGATAAAGAGTGAATTATTTCATCAGTGATGCTCACTGGAAACTTTGTTGGAAATGAACTATACAAAATTGGGGCTAAGTAGGACGGAAGGAAAATACTTGTAGAAAATGTGAGAGGGGGTAACAATGATGAAAAGGTAATATATTCATTACATAACTTATGAAACCGTAACCCCTCTGTAAATCACATTTGCAGTAAAAAAAAAAAAAGTGTCATTGACTTTTCTGCCCCACATGGCTTTGACTTAGGATCCTGAGATCTTTACCTCATGATCAGCTAGCTAAGATTAGAGGATTGAGTTACCCCCAAAGATTAATTTCTCAAAAGGTCTGCAATCTTTTTAATTTTTATATATCATCACCCAAACCACACCTGTTTGGATTCTTAATATTTTTTTTTGCATTTTACTTACCACAAATTATGTTATGAAAGTTTTACAGTGTAATATTTCCATACATGTGCACACTACACTTGGACCAAATTTACTTCCTCTTTAATGGATGTTCTACTACAGAAGTTCAACGATGATTTTGGGTTTTGTTTTTTGGGTTTGGGTATTTTAGGGTTTTTTATATTTTTATTGTGAAAATACCGTACAGAGGGGCTGTAATTACATGAGCAAGGTAATGAGTACATTTCTTATCAAGCATTGTTTCCTCCTCCTTTGTTCCCCTTATCATTCCTAACCATCTCCCACCTCTCCCCCGTCCCCGCCAAAGTTGTAAAGTTCATTTTTCAACATAATGTCTTGTACATCTCATTTTTACAGTGGGTCCACCTGTATCTCTATTTAAACCATTTGTTTTTTTCCCCTTCCCCTCCACAAAGTATGCAAACATCAAATACAGTGGAAACAGCAGTTATATCGTGGGGGAGGGACATACAAAGCAACAAAGAAATCATCTTATAAATATGTTAGAAACAATAGCAAGAAAGAACAACCATTTGAGTCCTCATCTTGGGGTTCATTTTGCATAACATCGATTTATCTGACCGTTTCTGCTTCCCTCAGACATTTACAAGTTATTGCAAATAAGGGAATCTATGGGACCTATGTTTCTTTAGGCCTAGCTTATTTCACTTAATATAATTTTTCCAAGCCTTTCCTTTTCCTAACAAATGTGGCAATGTCATTCTTTCTGATGGAGGCATAGATTTCCATTGTGTATATATACCACATTTTCTTGATCCATTCATCTACTGAGGGACATCTGGGTTGCTTCCATATCTTAGCTATGGTAAATAATGCTGCAAT